TTCATCATCTTCATCATCTTCATCATCTTCATCATCTTCACCCTGGGGTGGGACCTTCATACCCGGGGGGGGGTCATATCCCAGGGGTGGGTCCATCCCCTGCTGCTCCAGCACCTCCCAGTGACCCCAGCACCATCTCCCAGTGACCCCAGCACCATCTCCCAGTGACCCCAGCACCATCTCCCAGTGACCCCAGCACCATCTCCCAGTAACCCCAGCCCCTCCCAGTGATCCCAGCACCTCCCAGTGATCCCAGCACCATCTCCCAATGGTCCCACCCCCACCTCCCACCAATCCCACCCCCCGTTTCTCCCCCCAGGATTTACTTGCCCAGCGGCCACTGCTCCGTCCCCCCCGACCCCGAGGTGCCCCCCGGCTCTTCCACCACCTGTGAGTTCTCCAGCTCCTCGTCCCCGGGCTGCTCCGGGATCCTGATCTACTCGACCCGGACCTTCCTGTTGTCCATCCACTTCTCCAACCCCCCGGAGGACAACAAGTCCCCCCGGGAGCTGACCCTGCAGCTCTCCCAGTGCGGGGCCCGCCGGGACGAGCCGTTCTGCTATGAGAGAGCCGGGGGCAAAATGTCCCTCTACCAGACCAACCCGGTCGAGCTGAGGGACCTCTACGAGCAGATGTCGAGGAGGGACTTGGGCCCCGCCACGGAAGGGACCTCGTTCGACCGCGTCGCCCTGGACGCCCGCCTGGAGACGGCCGAGGTGACCCTACGCAACGTGGAGGTGCTGGGCACCATGTCCAACACCCAGAACGCCGTGATCAGCCTGGTGGTGAGGGGATATCTGTAGTTCATGGACAAAACCGGGAGCGAGACCCTCCGTGGGCTGGGAGCTCCTCGAGGACCTCCGGAAGGACGTCGTGGGCACCCCTGGGACCTCAGAGGCACCCGGAGAAACCTCCAGATACCTCCAGGACTCATGGGCATGACCTGGAACCCCATAAAGACCTCTGGGACCCCATAGACACCTCTGGAACCCCCTAGGCACATCTGGAACCCCATAGACACCCTTAGAAACCCATAGAGACCTCTGGAACCCCATAGACATCCCTAGAACCCCATAGCCCCCCCTTGGAACCCCATAGACACCCCTAGAACCCCATAGACCCCCCTGGAACCCCACAGACACCTCTAGAACCTCATGGCCCCCCCGTTTTTGGGATCCCCCCTCAGTTCCACCCCCCCTTTCCCTTTTTGCTTCGCTCAATAAAAGGAGAATTTTTGCCCTTGATCCGCAGAGCCGAAAACCGGGAATTTGGGATCTGGGGGTGGTTTGGGATGGGGGGGTTGGGATTTGGGATTGGGGGTGGTTTGGGATGGGGGGGTGGGATTTGGGATCTGGGGGTGGTTTGGGATGGGGGGTTCAGGAGGGAAGGGCTGTGTCGGGGCGGGGGGGGGGTCGGGTCTGGGAATGGGGTGTGAGCCCAGGTGGGACCCTCAGCCCTTCCCGGGGGGAACTTTATTGGATAAACCAGTTCAACCAGTCCCACCAGTCCCATAGGGAATCACACCAGTCCCACCAGTCCCATAGGGAATCACACCAGTCCCACCAGTTCCATAGGGAATCACACCAGTTAAACCAGTTCGATAGGGAATTGAACCAACTACACCAGTTCAACCAGTCCCACCAGTTCCATTGGGGAATTGAACCAGTTCCACCCCTTCCATTGGGAATTACACCATTTATACCAGTCCCACCAGTTCCCTTGGGGAACTGAACCAGTCCCACCAGTTCCACAGGGAATTGAACCAGTTCCACCAGTTCCACCAGTTCCATAGGGAATCACACATTACACCAGTTAAACCAGTCCCACCAGTCCCAGCTTCCCCCAGATCGGCCCCTCAGGATCACCAAATCTGGGGCATTTTGGGGTCTCTGGGCACCTGATTCTGGAATGACCCCAAAATGCCCCGGCCGTGGGCAGGGAGGGGCTGGGAGGGTTTGTGGGTCGGTGCCGCGCAAATCCCTGATTTCTGGGAATTCCCGGAGCTTCGGGGAGTTGGGAACGGACGATTCCCTTTGGACCCTCCCGGGGCGTCACCGTCAGGGAGCGGCTCCGGGGAGGAGACCCCGGGGGGGGGCGGGGAAAGGGCCGGAACGAGGAAACTCCGGGAGTGAGAAGGTTCCAAAGGTCGAGGGATTCCAAAGGTCGGGAGAGCCCGGATCTGACGGTGAGATTCCCAAGCCGAGGGGATCCCGTGCTGGGATGGGGGACAACATGGACACTCTTTCCCCACAAGAGCCCCGCACGGTGACCATCAAGGTCTCCAATAGGACCCGGAACGACAGCATGGACAGGCCCAGGTGAGGGGTCGGGGGCAGGGAGGACCCCCGGGGTGCCAAAGGGGCGGGTCCGGGTGGGATCTTCATCATCTTCATCATCTTCATCATCTTCATCATCTTCATCATCTTCATCATCTTCA